TTTGGGAACGTTCACCGACGACAGAGACTATTACGACAAGAAAGTCTTCGGTGCTTCTTTGAAGGCTGACGACCAGGTTTACTTGATCAGGTACCAACCGCAGGAATCCTGGCCAAGCTACACGAGTGGACAGGGCCATACATAATATAGCGGGTGCTATCGGATGTGATGTGTTATCAAAGATCCTAACAACCCTACCAGTCAATCCATGATAGTACATTTCAATCGACTTAAACCATTCCGGAGAAGTACTGACCACTTTGTCGGGGTTGGATGAAACGCCTGGGGAAGTGGCAGCTGAACTGGAGGTACCGGCTGAAGGAGTCTATGGTGTGGCAACGGGGACGCTGCCTGATTAGAGGGGGTTTGATGTAGAGAAGTATGTAAACTGTTTTTGGCGCGCGTCCGAGACTGAATCGTTGCATTGACGGCATTCTCGTCTGCCTTCCAGAGCGGCTTTCTTGCTCGATTACTGGAGGAGAACAAGAACACGAAGACAGTGGTTAACTGTAGTTTCCTTTGTTCCATTTTATTTTACGTTGATTACCTTTTTTAGAGGCTACGTGTTGTATACTAGAACTTCCTTCTCAACCCTTGGAGTTCTTCCGTGCTTGCATGCTACAGTTACACTTTTTGGGCTAATAGGTCATCTTCAGCCGAGCTACAGTGTGTTGACATCAGGCGGTTGCGGTGGTTCAGCAATAGACTTTGTACCTCTACTCGATAGTTTACTGCCATATCTAAGAGACTGGAGTCGCCATGCAGGTTCACGGTCTAATGTCTGCTCACACAACCATCACAAGCGCACCTGAGGTGGATCAGGTGGCCGCGTGGATGGGGCTGTACAAGCGTGGAGCTACTTGGGTTTCCAGCCTGGACGCTTCACACACAGCAAGTCAATCGCAGTGACCTCAATGGAGAAGTTCTGCGACGTACTGGTTCACTCAATTAGCTTGATCATTTCGTGGCAAGTATATTTTTAAATTGAAGCCAGGCTCGAATTCTGCATCCTGGAGGGCTACGCTGCGCAACCCCGCCTATATGTTGGAAATGCGTTAAGCAGTGAAGGATGAGTCGTGTTACATAACATCTAGCTACTTTGTCACCGTAGCTGCTGCTCATGTCTCGCAAGTGACGGGTTGCAAGTTCTCCCTCCACAATGGTTAGATAGAATTCTTATTGTTTTTTAGTCCCGAAGGGACCGAACGTAAAACTTTAATGTCATATGCAAACATTTAGGATCATGCTGCCTACCATTTCTCAACAACCTACCATCACAGATACCGGGCGGCGGCTTACCGTGCAAAGATAAGGCGGCATCGGTGAGATAGCTTCGTTGCGGCTTTCACGCGTAGTTAACCCAGCACCAAACGCACTTTAGACATGCAGTCCGACTGCGAGACGACAGCAGACGTGCCACTGGTGTCGACTACGAGCCATGTCCTGTAACGTCTAGAGGTAAGCACAAAACGCGGGTCACATGGACTCCAGCCTGGAAAGCGAGAAAGACCAAGAGCATCCAGTTTATGTTCCTTTTGACAAAGGTAGTTATTGTCCTTTATCTTTTTTCCGTTACCTCGCTTATGGAATACGAGCCTCGAATGTACAGGGCATTTTGCTCGTTGTATGTCTTTTTGCTTGTTGGTGTAGCAAAATGCTGACGGAATTATGTCCCTTATTTTGAAATATAAATTCTATATTTCTCCTGCTACTGAGCAACCATATTCACAAAAAGACGGACCACATGAGGTCAAAGCAATACGTTCCGGATGCGGAGTACACAGGTTAGGTGCATGTGACCTGACAAAAAATATATGGACTGTAGTCCATTCTGAACATTGCTCAGTGCTTTTAACTCACGGAACCCTACAACAGCATCTCAGCACAGCTCCCATAGGGGTCGCTATACTCCGACTTTAAGTATGGAACTCAGTCGATGTTACCGGATAACGATGATTTTCTATGACTAAAAATGTGATGGACTAGAGGCAGACACTACTGCACTAGTTATCAGTAGCGTGGAAAGGCCGGGATGCGCATCGGCAACCAGCCAACTGCAGGCCGTAATGGATTCCCAAAGGAGAGGGATACTTTAGAACTGCAGTTGAATGCGCGCGAGGAAAAGTGCACACCACACAACCCCTGAACACAGAAGGAAACGCGCGTCATGCAACCTCCAGCGAAGATGTGTGGATATCTCGTTTGTCGGAATGGATACACCTAGTATTAGCTATGTTGACACAATAAACAATTCTACCTGCATTTTGGGTTCTTACACCAATGTCGTTTGAAGCAGCAACAGAGTATTGTGGTTGGGTGCTGCGTTAGTTGATTATGCGCCTTCAAGAGCCCCCGTGTTTGAGTGGTTTGCGGAATCCCAATGTGGCAGGCGATCCCTGGTGATGAGGTACAGTGTGGTCGACCTGTGGAAGTCACCACCATGGATAACATTGCTGTTGTGCGAACGATGCTGGAGGAGAACGCACGGGTGACTGGTTCAGCTGAGGCAACTCATCGACATCAATCCGCACCATCCTACATGAGACGTTCGGCCTCAGAAAGGTTTGCACACGCTAGGTACCCCATCAACTCAGTGAGGACCAGAAAGCAGTTCGGGTGAATTGATGCCGCACCATGCATGCAATGTCTGTTGGTGGACGTTCCAATATTGCTTTGACGATTCTCTGGTGATGAGACCTGGGTATACAGTTTCGACCCAGAGACCAAGCAACGCTCAGCACAGTGAACGGCCGTTGGTGGGGCGCCGTCTCAGAAATTCCGGCTTAAGCGCAGTGTGGCCATGCAGATGGTACTTGTGTTCGTGATCATGACCGGTCATATGACTATTGTACCGCTCGTACGACAACGCACAGTCACTGGAGACTGGTATGCCGCAAGTGCTGAAGGCTGTTGCTTGGCTTCATCCAAGGCCTCGAGCACGAGAGACCTTGCTGCGTCAGGATAACGCACCCACACACAGATCCCACGTCGTCGTTGGTTTTCTGGTTAGCGAACGCATCCAGGAGGTTGGTCACTCAGCCTACAGTGCAGACCTGGCTCCATGTGACTTTTTGTGTACCCAAATGTCAAGCGCCTGATGCGTGAGATCCACTAAGCGTCTCCAGAAGCTGCAGTAGAGGCCCTTATTGAGGTGTTTGAAAGGCTACCTGCTTCGACATGGGATGAATGTTTCTCGAAGTGGTTTGAACGCACGGAACTATGCACGAACCCTGGTGGAAAGCACTTCGAGCAAATGTAATGTTTTGTTCCAAAAGATAAAACCTTTTGTGCGTCCGGAAACGTATTGCTCTGACTTTGTATCTACACGTACGGCATACGCACGCATACTTCACTCTCCATGAATGGTGTTTATACGAGGTGTTCAACAAAACCGACCTTTTTCTGTAACGTCTTTATTGCTCATTGCAAAACATTTTAAGCATTTCCCCCTTTAAAGTAGTCCCCTCTACTGGCAATATACCATTCCCGACGGTGCTTCCATTTTTGGAACGCGCTTTCTGGGATGGCGCGCAGATCTTTTGTCGCAATTTCCTAAATCTCCCTTATGGTTTAGAAACGACGTCCTTTCAACGGGTTTTAAGTTTGGGAAACAGGAAAATGTGCAGGAGCAACGTTCGGCAAATACGGTAGGTGGGGTACAATGTGAGTATGATCTTTCGCTAGATAGCTCCAGACAAAGAGCGATGCATGAGCCGGCGCATTGTCATGATGCAAAATACAGGTCTTGTTTCCCACAGTTCAGGGCTCTTCCTTCGCACAGCATTCCTCGAACACGCTAGACTTTGGTGGCATGATTCTACGCTGATGCCCACTACGTCGCAACTTCTCGAACAATTAACCGACGATTTCCACAGATCAAAGCACGAACTCTATTGATATGGTCATCGTCTGTTAATGTGGAAGGTCGTCCAGGCTGAGGATCGTCGACGACCGACATTCTGCCGTGTTCAAAATACTTAAACCAATCATAGTACTGCCTACGACTCATACAGTCCTCCCTGTGTGCTTGGCTAAGCAATTGAAATGTCTCTTTAAATTTTTCCAAGTTTGCAGCAAACAAATTTACACACTCATGTTGTTCTTCCAACTCTTTCATTGTCCCTTTGTGCACGTGCTCAGTTCAGCGGCTGTAGCTCCACAACCAACAGTCAGAGCGAAATGCGGCAAATGGCAGTTTGTTGTCTAAGCAAGCCTCCACATGCGCTCAGTAGCCGCGGCACGCTACCTCTGCCGGTTGCCGCGCTATTTCAAAAGTTCGCTTTCTTTTTGGACACTCCTCGTACAGCATGAAAGTGAGACATTTTGGTGAAAGTCTCCCGTTGCAGTTTTACTGTCGTTTTCCTCTTATTCAGGACTCCTTGAAGGGATATAAAGGCGACTGGAGACGTCAACCAGAATTTGGTGTGGAGCACACCATCGTGTATGAACACCGCAGCAGAGAGGAAGAGGAACGTACGAGCCCAGCTATCCATGAATAACAAAGACCCTATAATTGGAACAACGGAACTGGGACAAAGAAACACGCGAGAACCTCAGGATTGTGACATTCATATGACTTTAGTTATCCGTTGTAGTTGCGGAGTAATGGAGAGGAAGTGCGCTCAGATAAAGCGATTAAATTATTAGATTGGTGTTAAATATCTAATCCTTCTCGATTACAGCCTTTGATATTTTAGTGGGTCAGAACTTAGATGGCCACAAATATTGGATCTGTGGTATGGAAGCAAATATTGGTCGCTCAGGTTGTTCAGTTGATGGTCGAAGGGTTTGCTGAGCTCGGCAATTTTACTGCAGACGTTTCATCACCACTCGAGGTGACATCAGCGGTGCGTTACTATGTAGTGGAGTGGGGCATCGCGATGCGAGGTGTTAGGCCATCCATTATCTCACTTATGCTCTGTAATCTTGCTTGCGATATCTGCTCAGTTGTAGTCAACATTCTCATTGTTCGTGCTGCACCTACCTTTTCCACTCTCCAGGATCTCAATAAAAGCTTGGACACTTTGTCTAAACCCGAGATCAGCACCGGGGTGCAACTGCTTCCTAGCGTGACTGACAAGGAGCGTTCTGGCGAATCTGCAAAAGCTTACTTTCTGTCTCCACTCCTCGCCTCCGTCATGTTGAGTGAATTAGGCGATCAGATTTGGCCCAAAAATCCCGCGCAGGTGGCCGAATTACTTGATGTACGTTTTTTTATTTGCTATTTTGACGCTCAACCTTGGCGTTTCTGTAATTGTGCGCATACTTGTTGTTTCAATTACTTTTGAGAATAATCGATCGGTGTATCTACTTTCGTAACTTCATCATTCCTCATTTTGAACAAGTTCTTTAGACCCGACGCTGTATCCCCTTTGATGTCCAGAGCATTACGTTTTCCTGAGGTTGAGTGATTGACAGACTTTTATCCCCTTTGTCGACTGGAGAATCCAAGTTGTTATGTAAAAATGCCTACCGGAAAACGCGTAGGTTTTCTAATGTAGCCGTGACTGTTTTCTCTTGAGATCTCCCAATGCACTGGCGGACTCGACGCTACCACACAGTAATCCAGCTCACACTCTGCTCACCGACATTTCGCTTCGCCGCCTTACTATTGTATCGTGCTGGTCCTTCACTGGTATACACTCACAGATGGTGAGAGATAGCTTCCACTAAAATATATGAGAAGGGGGCAGACGCGTGCAGCTTAATACCGAAATACTCAATACCAACTTGTCAAACTAATGCGCCCACCCCGGACGGCCATGCACAGTTGGGTTATCGTGTGAGAGTAACGATGCTGCTGAGACGGCTTCCTTGATGCTTTCATTGCTCCGTATTATGATTTACCGATGACTCTGACTAGAATCACTCAAAATTACGGTGCCATATACGCAAAACAGCTAGAGGTGCCTTGGAAAACGTCCAGCGCTCACTCATCAAACTAATCCTTGGGCGCTCATCAACGCGATGTCGTTATCCCTAGCGTAACCCTTTTTGTGCGCAACGACAGAAGAGCAATCTCAGTCATTAAATTGACTCAGCCTATCTCACTCGTAATGGGAAATACATGCTAGCCTTACAGTCAGTGCATTCGCTTAAATTTCTTCTTGCTGGTGTACGCCCATCTGTGGAATAAGCTACCGCTACCGCTCCACATTGAGAACTCATCTACACTACTTCTCTTTCCATGCCAACTGTGGGAAAAAACTTTCGGCCCTCGGTGATTAACCAGTGCACTCATGGAATCCAGCCCCAATGATATATGACGCAACTAGTTCTCCATTCTGTTGTTTATTTTGCCTCTTCCACTAGCCATTGCATTACTGATCCATACTGAATGTAAACTTTTTAAATGCAATACTGACGAAATTAACGAAAGGAAACTTATCCAGCCCGTTGGGAAAGAAATCGGTTTATTTACTTACACTTCCTATAGGTAGTCATTGGTGCCAGTATCGAGCCATATGACATGATGAGTGTAACCATGCATAATCTACACACCCAATGACTGTGACCTGCTTCAGCATGACCTCTCCAAGTAGTCTGCAGAGCTTAGCCTTCCGATCAACCCGGTCAATTCACAATTCATGACGCTGGGTAAGTGTGAGCACACTCGAACCTACACGGTGGCCGCTCAACCGCAACATCCCGCGCCTTTCGTGCGAGACCTCGGTGTACTCTCACGCTACGACCTAAAGTCCATGGACAACAGGAATAGGCTTTACCAAAATAGCCTTCGTATGCTTTGGCCGCTCAGGCGCAGCTTCAGCACTTGGTCCGAAGAGATTGCCACTCGCCTCTTCATCTCAAGTATGCGACCAATGCTAGAGTATGGCTCTCCCGCGTATTGTCCTATCACCCAGGGTGAATTAGAAAAGATTGAGCGAGTGCAACATGTGGCCACCAAGCTGATTTCCAATTTACAAGGTTTCTCGTACGAAGACCGCTGTAAGCAACTAAGGCTTTGCACCAGAGCTTATCGTCCACCGCGCGTTGACCGCATCATGACGCACCGGATAGTACATCTGGGAGATTACTCCATTTTGAGGCCGCTGCTTCATCTGCGCATACCAAGCAGCACACGAGGACACCAATACAAGCTTTTCGTACTGGATTTGAAGCGGGTCGCTCACCAACTCTGTTTCGAACGCAGAGTGGTGAATGTATGGAACAACCTGCCGCAGCACATAGTTGAGGCACATTCGGTGTCGGAATTTAAAAATTTCCTGTACAAACACTTTGCCGATATAAAATATATCGAGCTCACCCCAACATAATGGGTCTTTGTCCCTGAGTGACATAAGATGCAGCTACACAGCAATTCCTCTTCTTGATGCTTCCAACCAGTAATCAGTAATATGAACCACATATATCCGAGCTTGGAAGGTAAAGCGAGTAATCAATATTCCCACTGTAGATCTATTGGGTGATCGCAACCCTAAACTTGCACATATAATAAGTTTACAAGACTTTTCTCAATGATTAGCTGGTCGTCGTGCGTAGCAGGGCCCCTTCCCTAACTACATCGCCGTGGTTGCCAATTTATGCTTGTTGGGGACCGATCTATGACAGGATTTAAGTGAAATCCATATGAACTTTATATACCCGAGAGCATTTTACAATATCCACCGCGATGTTTTACAGCAACAATGTTAAAGATGCGAAATTTTACAACTGGAAAACGGCATTAGGAGTGCAACTGTCACTCGTATAAACGGTCCCGAATCTGCGTTCTGTTGATGATATAGTGTGAAAGACCATATTCTCGATCCGAACGAAGATTTCTTGTTACAAAACTCCTGATACCTTCACCCGATGCGTGCAGTATCCCAAAGCCCATGTTGGAAAATCGGCGAAGGATAGTGTTAGTAGCACTGTCGAAACAAAATGTCAACAGTCTCAGTGGAAACTGTAAAATCCGTAGCAGATAAAGTAAGAGCGACATTCCAATGAAAAGATAACGACCGATTTAAAGACCCCGTAGTTATTAACAAGCAGTTGTTGACAACCTGGATGTTTCACATGGGGTCATTTTGGTTTGATTTCGATTTGGATTTCCAGCGAGTTCTCCCTTACTCTTAGATTCTTCAGACGGTTTCTTAGCTGGAGAATAGCTCCGAAAATGCTGGTTTGTTTCTCTCTGAGTAAATATTGGATAACAAGAGATATTCTCCTCCTTTTGAGTGATAATCGCTGTTTTTATTACTACTACCATGTTATTAGTATCTATATTGCATTACCTATATTCACCACTTCAGGTTGTGTCTTCACTGAGACGGTATTTTTGGTCTTGTTGGTCAGCTTTTGGACTATCCGCTGCTCTCGTTATTTCGTTTATATCCTAGCCATTTGTTGCTCACCATCACTGACTTCGACTAGCTAAACACCCGTAAACACTGTACCAATTGACCGCTTGCTTACAAGCCTGCTCTCTCAATGTCCCGAGGTCACAAATCTCATAGCGTTTGTTAGCCCTCCGAGAGATTATTCGACGCTAACACCACCACCACCACCACCATGCTGCTTTTCAGCCGCAGCTTTGTCATATACTGCTTTTACGCCGTTTGACAAGTTGATCAGCCATTACCCGTCGTCGGCTTCCGTCCCTTAGCTCCCACTCTGTATGAACCGTTGCACTCAAAGAGAGGCACAACTCTGTTTTAAGACCACGATCTGCGAATTTTGTGTGTCCGTTTAGCTTCACTGACGGTGGTGGCCAACTGCAATGATCTCTTGAACATCTACTTGGCAAGTGTGCAATGATGCACAGTCAACTAGAGTCGTCGGGACTGTATCGCCGTCAACGAGCCCTTCGGACCTCAGCTACTTAATGATACCCTATCCGACAGACAAATCATATAGTCTATTGGGATGACGCGCTTTATTCATTTTAACTAATTCACCAGATTCATTACTCACCTTCTGGTCGATAGTTTTACTCTGACACAACTGAAGTTCACTGCTGGTGTTCAATATCTGGCGTATCTTGTTGGTCATGGCACTAGCTACTCATGCCACATCTGGACGATTAGTGGCCTGCCCTGTCGTAGGGCCTCGATCTGTCTAGATTCAACAACTTTACGCCATTTTATAGTGTTGCTCATCCCAACACGGGCACCCCAAGACCGCGGTTTCGTCCTGGTTAGGACTCATCAGTTGGAGATAGCCTGAGTTGGGCTGGAACTCAGAACCTAGTGGCTCATGGTTGACACCATGAGCACTATGCCACTGAGATCCGCGAGCAACGTTGATACAGCGGAAACGAATTCAAAGGTGGACTTGGAGAATCCGCTGGTGCTTGGGTTGCTACAAGCAATCTCTATTGAGGCTTCGGTTCACTTGAGGTGGACCTCGGCCATTCCGATCTTAAAGACCGTAAGTAAAAAGAAACCTTTTATAGTGGTTGCTTGTAGCAACCCAAGCACCAGCGGATTCTCCAAGTCCACCTTTGAACTTTACGCCACTTTTTTGAAAACCTTTGATCTCATAGCTGCACTATTTCATCAGATTTTCGTCCATTTTACAGATGACTCTGCAACGCTTGTCTTTTGTGGTGTCACACTCCGACGAGATTGACCTCTTGAACTTGGTGGCGGAATCTATCGATCAAATCCTCGGTATTGTGGCGTTTTATTTACAACAAATCGGAGTAAGAGCCTGCTTTATGCTTTTATTAATTCGCGGAAGGTTCTGAACCTATGGTCACTCTGATTGCATCCTATCTCTTAATTGTTATTCTCTGGTTGATCTTGGTAAAGGCTCCGACAAAACATGACATCCCGTAGTATGTGATGACCCTTCTCCGACTTGGCCCGGCATTATTCCGCACGGAATCGTCTTTTGCTCTACCAACGCAATCCGTCACTCACCGCTTAATGTTTTGCTGGGCATAAATGAATGCATCACTAATCAGCTACATGCGAGTTATTTCCATAGAAAATCGATAAACTCAATCTTCGAACTTCAAATTACTTGTTTCCTTTGTGGGTTGCGTACGCTGATTTTTTTAATCCTACCTTCCTTTCCCCTTCGTTCAACTTTTGCTTCGCTCTAACAAGCACATCTGTGCTGGCTACGTTTCATTCGCCTCAATATTGCAAGGAAACGTGCTACTTACTATCGTTTTCGCTATCCTTTTGAAACGCGCAACTGTTAGCTTTCATGTCTCATAGAGAGGATTGAATCTCCCGTCTACCCAAATATCTGAGGAATGTGACTGTTTTTATTGCGTCTAATCACTAAATTTGTACCGATTGCATTCGATTCCAATGACAAATGGTCTTGACTACGGCATGTGAATCGTTGCGTGCTTATCTCCTTCTAGCCACCCTCCACCGACCTATGCTTAATCAGTGCACGGGATGCATTCGCTCGTCTGCTACCTACGATCGATCAATTAAACGAGGCACTGAAACAGAACCCCATGGTGACCAACGATGCTCAATTGGAATTGCTCCACTGCCTTCGGGTTATGCTGGCAACACGTGGTGCTGTTGACCCAACCAAGACTCATCCACATTCGACATGTGATTCTACAAACCATAGAACGTAAGTTTTTTCTATTCTTCGTGATCGTTTTTTGGGAGTGCATAAGCCACTGTGGCTTCGAAGGAACAAGTCTACCTGATTAATGCTCCAGCAGTAAACTACCACAGTCGATCTTATCCAAATCGCATGTTTTCCATACACACTCAAGTATTTTTTATTTGGAACATTTCAAATGACTTTCCATTGAACCGTTACCTCAAAGGAATCAATACGCGGATTATTGCTCATATGCGGTGGGAACACCGAGGGAGCAGTGCTCAAGTTCACCAGGTGCTTTTCGGCAACGAGCCTTCTGGTAATTGTCGGGTTCCGGCGCGTCTGCCATGTCTTTGTATTGCGACACACAATCTCATTTGTGGCCTCGGTTGACTTTGAAGTCAGCCTCTGCTATTCTGATCCCTAGGTGCCGTATCCTAGATGGAAGGTTTCGGTATCGCACTATATGACGCCTCTCGTCCTTGTTTGGATTCATCAGGTATGGGTAGTCTGATCTAGGAGTGGCATTCGATACGTCGTGGTTGTCGGTTCTCGCCACGATCACTAGGCCATTGTACTTTGCTAACAGCGGTTTGAAGTCAAATTTTGGAGCACTCATGGTGTTAGAGCCTTCTGGTGCCTCACTCGAGTATTTACTGAATCATAACCGTTTACATTGGTTAGGTCGTTTTCCATACGCCTGTTGAGCAACTTCCTCTGTGTACATTGTACGCCGACGCTGCACCAAGTTGGGTTAACGTGCGAGGTGGCCAGTCAATGACGTGGCACAAACACTGGAAGAAATCGATTGGGAGGCTTAGTCAAGTTAATGCCTACCGTCTTCGTGAATGGAGGCCCCTCGATAATCCATGCCAATGGTTGAAGACATCGCGCAGTCATTGGTGTGCGTGCATTCCTTTTCCTGGATTTAACCGTTGATTTTCCATCCCGATCAGTTTTGTGCACCTTTGCCCCGATTGCATTCGGTTGGTTTTATTCGCCTTCATCTTCATATTCCAGCCGTGGTTGCTTTTTATTATCCAGACGACGTGAGTCGTTGCAGCTGCATCCACCGCATTTCGGTGCCCGGATCGTAGTTGCACAACTACACTGAACTTACGGGGCTAGTGAACCAGTAGTCTATTTTTCGCGCAGCCATCACATCCCTGATCCACATGATAACACTGATCACACTGTAATCTTTCGCACTTTGCTTTCAACACCGGGACCTATACTTTTTGTCTGTCTATAGTGATTCGAACTTTCCAAAACTACACGGACCTTACAGTTTTATGCAGCAATGATTCCTGTTATTGCAACAAAATGTCTTCTAGGTCCTTGAGTCTCGTTCTTACTGACAGTGCTAGATAACCTACTAAGCTATTGCGGATTCTGGTTCAACCAGCTTCCAAAACCAAATGACGATGACTCTGAGGGCAGCCTCTAAAGGGACTCCATGAAACAATCTCAATTACACTCAATAGGGCTACGAATTTCTAACTGGAACGATGACTTCAATGAGTCTTTCTCATTTTACGAATCATAAAGGCGGTTTAAAACACTCACACTGGTTACCTCCCTGTTCAAGGCTTTGTTGGGAATATGTCTAGAAATCCGTCTTTGCACGTTTTCTGTTACCTGGATGCCTTACACTTGCCGTCTTTATGTCCGATCCCGCCTTTACGACTTCACATGAGTCTTGTTGGTTTGTGCAATAACTAATTGGACGATTTAACCCGTATGAAGGATTCTGCTGCCCAGATAAGTTAGCAGACCAACCACTTGGATCGGCTGTTCTGTTATTGTGTGAATCGGTTACGTGGCGTCGATTTTTATGCGGAACCCTGCACATCGAAAGCTCGAAGAATTTGCCGGAAAATGCAAGTTCCAGTCCCAGTCTACCCTGTGACGCTTGTACGGATTCTGTGTCTTGTGTGTCAGTTAATCAATCGGTTCAAGTTCCATTCCGGGCAAAGTAGACTGGTTGGAGTCGTTCGTGGTCATTTCGACCGCAAAGCGGGAGAGGAAAAGTGATATGGTACATCCAGAGTGCACCCGTTAAGCTTTGGTGATCTGCATTAAATTTTTTCGAACTATAAAAACGTTCCTGGCACCCCCTTCTACCACAAACGGCTTCACAAATGGGCGCAGTCAGGGGAATCATGGAGGATTTGATGAAGTCTAAAAAGGACATCAGAAATACACCCAACTGACACTTCTAGGCTACGCAACTACCACCAGTAGAGCGTGGGCTAAGGATACTAGGAGGAGGGGCTTGTCCTCTCCGCCACGGGCCGGCCGATGCAGCTTCAGCCGAGTAGGCATCTCGTTTGGCTGTTGTTTATGCCCTTTTCTTTAGCACTGACGGGCATTACGTATCAGCCGTCTGTAGGTGCGAATAACGCGTTCAACTCACCCATCACTGCCGCGTGACTTTCTGCGGCTAATCCGATGTCACTTCCTTGGAGCGCTCTGTAATGTTGCGCCCAGCATCCGGACCACCCAAAACTTGATCAGCTACCGTGTTTCAGCACTGACCGGATAAGATCATCATATCACTCGCGCAGCACTCGTCAACTTGAATAAATAAATAAATTGACGAGGTGAAACTGTTCCAACGTAGGGGAAGATCAACAGGTATGTAGTTCTCACAACTGGTATCACATTAGGGGAGATCCTAGAGGAGTGCTATCAACAGAAGGGGGTGCTACTATGTGGCTGATGTGTACGTAACAGTTTCGCGCATTTATGGTGCTCAAGGATAAGGTGCAGACCTATGTACTATAGGTAGATTCTGTTTATGGGTTACTCCTGTTTATACAAACCTTTTCATTGCCTGTCTCCGTTTACTGTTGTCCCATCGAAGTAAACCGACGCATCCCGACCAAAAATTGGAAATTTTGCCTTGTTAACCAAGTTAGAGTTTCAATCTCCCGCTGACGCTACATCCGACTTCATCGGTCGATTTCGACGTGTCCCAGGATTTCAATTCATAATTGGCTCAGGGAGAAAACAAAGATTAGTATCGATATAGACAGAAAATGGTTTTAACACGTGTACCGGTAAAAATAAATTAATAAAGTAGCAAAACCTAGCCAAGGAGAATTCAAAAGGATAGATAATATAATTTGCCCGGGTGCCGAGACCAACTTCGTACTAAGGGACTTCCTTCCTCTTGACCATGTCGCGGGTTGGCCTTCCCTCCTTTTCTTCCATCCACACCCCGGCCATCGCAATGAGGCTCGACCTTACCGGGATGTAATGGTTTGTGTGCCTCAGTGATCCATTGAGCTATGCTGGATGGTGCTTTTTTGCACCTTCAGATCCACTCATACCAGATTGGTCAATGGTTAGAGGCCAGACAAACTCAGCCTCCTGGTCCTCCAGGTTGCGGCTTGGAATGAGAGTGGACCCTTATTCCTTCGAACGGACTCTTTGTAGCCCAACGCCAAACCCGCTGTCTTGCGGTCAGGTTTTTGAACCCCGTAGGATGACTTGGCGCTGACCAGCCTCGAACCAGCTATGGATGCAAATCGATCACATTGCAATAAGTCACCGTTGTAGAGGCTGCGTCCAGAACTGTCGCTCGATTTGGAGGACATGTGTAGACACCGACCATGCACTTGTATGTGCTGACATGCGGATGCGTTTTGGCGGACGCCCAAGACGACGCTGTGAACGCATTACGACCAGCCAACTGGCGAAACCACCTGTTCTGAATGCCTATCAAAGTACGCTGTCATGCTAGTTGAATAAGCGCTCACTGCATGCAATTGAAGGTCACTGGCCTCATGTTCACCAGATTTTACTAGCAGCAGGAAAATCCTCATTTGGTGAGTTTAACCATCAACATGGACATTGGGTCTCTTTACAATCTCTGGAACTTATCGATGCTCGCTGGCATATTCCGGCTGGAAGCGAACACGACGAGACTCGCTGAAAACTCCGTGCTAGCCTGAAGAGAGACCGCGAATCCTGGTGGTCTCATCGTGCATCAGAGATGGAAATGGCCGCTGCCCTTGGTAACCATTGTAAGTTATTCCGGCTTATATGGGAAACGGGCAGTAGGAGACTTAGTGTTAGTAAAACAATTTGTGACGAGAGTGGACAGCCTATCCACAATTTGTCAAAACGTTTGGAGCGTTGGGCTGAGCACTTTGAAAGACAATTTAATCGGTCCGAATTGTTAGATTACTCGCCGGCCACTGATCGCCCCGCTCCCTGGGCTGTCCCTTTAGACCCACCCTCTCGCTCAGAAGTCGAACGTGAGATCGGACTGTTGAAGTTACATAAAGCCACGGGACCAGATGATCGTCCTCCAGCTCTCTTCAAATTCGGGGACCTGCTCTTGTGGATGATTTATACGAGTTAGTAATAAAACTGTGGGAGCAGGAAACTGTCCCAACCGATCGGAGCCGCTCCATCATAGTCCCAATTTTCAAAGGAGGCTCACGATCGGAATGCGGCAGCCATAGAGAAATCAGTCTGATCTCCATCGCCTCCAAATTGCTTGCATCTGTCATCCTTCACAGATTGACTAACACTCGTGAAAGCCAGGTTCGTGAAGAGCAAGCCGGGTTTCGTCGAGGTCGTGGCTGCATTGATCATCTCTTCACTTAGCGTCAGTTGTTGGAGCACCGTCACAAATATTGGCGGCCCACCATTGTCGTGTTCCTCGATATCAAAGGTGCATTTGATTCGGTGGATAGGTGTGCACTTTGGGACTGTCTACTCAGGAAAGGTGTACCTGAGAAATATGTAAATATTATCCGATCATTATACGCGCGTAGCTCGGGCAGAGTGAGAGCTTACGGCAAGCTGTCGTCGCCCTTCAATATCTCCAGCGGTGCGAGACAATGATGCATGCTGTCACCTTTCCTCTTCTACTTCGCTATTGACGAAGTCATGGAAATCGCGTTTACAGGACACGACTTAGAAGGTGTGGAGCTACTCACAGGAGAACGACTTCTTCGCTTAGAGTATGCTGACGATATTGCCCTAATCTGTGACAGCTCACAAACTTGCCAAGCGACACCAGACAGATTAGCACTGGCTGTCCGTCACTTCAGGCTTTGCTTTGTACCCTCGAAGTGCAAAGCGTTCCTCCAATATTGGCCTGGACCGCCTCCGTCGTTCAAAAACTCAACTACCTGGGAAGTTGTACCAGCGCCCATGGGATTGAAGATGAGATCTTGAACCGGATAGCAAAAGCTCGAGACGCTTTGGTTAACCTTCGCCACTTATGGCGCGGGCGCGAAATCATTCTCGCCCTGAAGTGTAGAGTGTATGATGCGGCAGTACGTTCGACCCTAGTGTACGGTTGTGAAACCTGGGCATTAAGATCGGTGGACATAAAGAAGCTAGTTACGTTCGACCACCGGTGTCTTCGCAATTTAGCTCACACCTGGTTTGAACATCGCATGAGCAACGAGCGTGTTCGACGCGTTGTTTACGGAACAGGAAAAGGAAATGAATCGTTCAGCACCATTATTTCACGCACTAGGCTCCGATGGCTGAGCCACGTGTTATGCATGCCAGCCCTTCGACTCCCGCGGCATGCGTTGTTTGCGCGCCGTGGGTGTGGGTGGAAGAAGAGGAGAGGTGGCCAAGCGATGACTTGGTCGAGAGGAATGAAGGCCCTCACCTCGAAGCTGGCCTCGGTTGGAGTGTCACGACTCCCTGGTTGGGGTCCGAAAGCCGATGAACACGTTTGGTTGGATACACTTGCTGATATGGCTAGGAGCCGACCTCAGTGGCGTTCGTGCTGTGGGTTTCTTTGCCCCTATACATCCCTTTTAGCCTCCCCCTCCAACCACGATCTCACTATTTAGCCTTATATAATTTCGCGTAGCAATTTTTTTCTGCTGCATAGTAGCCGGCTGGTAGCTTGCCGGAACGATGCCCTTCAGTAACCGGTAGCTCAGCTGGTTTGCATCTGTTGCATTTCATTCTCTTTTTTCTTTTAGGTATTGCGACACAGTAGCTGAGGTGTTTCCCACATCTAGCTAATGTGTATAATGAATGAATTAATGATCCACACTACGGTTGGTAAACAACATTGTGCCCCCTTTAACCACTTCATCAATACAGATGGATGTCAAATATCGTGATATGTTAACAATTCGATTGCTCTTGTCACTCGCGGACGCATTACTTACAGGAAGTAAATGAAAGTATACACGTGAAACAAACGTTCGTGACTAACGAGAGCAATCGAAATGTTAAGATATCACGATGTGTCTGCTTTCTGCGTTGATGAATTGGAGACTACTGCAGCAAAGACCTCGTACACGCAAACAGCAAATTTAGTTTGTATGTTGTTAACTTGCTACGGCTTGGATATACGGAGCTACCTTGTTCATTTTGGACTATAACATTTGCTATCGGTTTAATAGCCACTTTTTACCTTCAAAGTCTTTCGTCTCACCTAATTTACTGCGGAGAATTCCGCTTCCCATCTTTCACAAAACCAAACTTTCACTTAAACTGGAGAAGTGGTGAGCGAATTCGCATGGGCCTCTCTCTCATTTGTCTGTTTTTCATTGATGCAAGTGTTTTCCTATGCACTTTTTCGATTACCACAGACTGTTTTTTATTGACAGGTCTGACCCACTCACTTTGCACGAAACTTCTGGAAGCACGAACTTATTCTCACATTCTACACGCTCCCTGATCCAAGAGGTGACGCCTGTAACTGACTCCGTCGAGCCACAGCATGAGCTTCACTCTGAGCCTGCTCATCCCCGGCTTCAGGAAGCACTCGATCAGTTGAAAGATCCACTCATTCCAATGCGCGGCCACGCACTGATTACGATAAGTCGAATGGTGGAGTCACGTGACAGTTGTATACCAGGCCAAGAAGAGCGCATATTTCGGGCAAGCTTTTATTGGCAACCACCCTTCCTTTTTTGCTGATAGTCTGTGGATGTAGTAATATTTGTTTCAATCGCTACTTCGTAACTTGCTGCTTTACTGTAAGTAGGTAGCTTAAAGAGAGCCTTAGTTTGCAAATCTGTTGGTTCGATGCGTAGTTCAACGGACACTTGTCCGTCTTCAGCGATGGTTAGCTGGACTTCCCGATTCATCGCCTGTACCGAAAACTGATGGTATGACATACTGCGAAATCATACGCGTTTAACCAACACAGGTTCCAACATGTAACCAGATGGCTAATCATGAGGCGGAGTCGCTTGCTGTGGCCTGTTTAGCTTCACAATACTAATGCACAAACCTTTCAGTTCATTGAATAGTCCGGTAGTTGCCAATCAGTGTGACAGTTTTCCATAACTATCTCCTTGCGTATGTGCACTGCCTCATAAGTACATCTCTAAGTATTTATTTCTGTTTCTTTCGACTTCTCCAATCCAGGCTCTAATGCGCGGCTGATTCAATTTCTTCTATTTAATGTGGCCACGATATCGAAAGTTGGTTACCATGTGAAAACCTAAGGTAACACTTAAGCGCCCCTACGCAAGTGGGTAACAGACAATTGGTATTTGTTCATTTTAGTGGCTACTCATTCGAATCAGGAGATTGTGAGTGCATTAGCACCGTTTCACATTGTTTGCATACGTTTCTGGATACTGATGTGGTCTTTTACGAGGTCACTATTCCAAAAAGTGACGCGAATTAAGACAACGTACCATTCACGGAACGTTCTCGTGTTTTTCCTCATTCCATTCTGCTTTGGGAACTCCTTCGACTAAAACACGGTATTGGGAATCCATATTAATTGACCTATCAAACGCGGCGGCCCAGTATGGCTCTTGAAGAGACCAGCCACCAAAAATCAGCGACGTACACTCGCGTTACTCTTTTTGTGGTCTCTTGGTGTGATCGTGCAGTGTGACCTCAACTGTTCAAAACAGGCTGAGCTAGCTGCGAAAAGAGGCAACCAGCACGTTGGCATGCTGCGAAGGGCATTCGGGAGATTTGACCCATCAATCTTCCCAATGATGCACAATTCCTATGTGCGTTTGCATGTTGAATACGCTATCCAAGCTTGGCAACCTTGATTGAAGCACGACCTGGAAGCGATAGAGGCACCACAACGAAGGGCAACAAAGAATATACAGGGCATGCGCCATCACTCTTACCACCGAAGGCTGAAGTTGCTGGGAATTTTCAGCGGACGCTATCGAAGGCTGAGCGGCGATCTCATTTTGGCGTATCAGATATTGAGTGACCCCAACCACGTATGCCGCCATTTGCTGAAATTTAGCCACAACACGCAGCTCAGGGGTAACTGCTTAAAGTTGAAGGAACAATATAGCCGTCTAGAGTGTCGACGGAATTACTTTTCCCTTCGGGTTTGCCAACCCTGGAACGCACTCCCAGAATCAGTAGTATCCTCTCCTACCCTGGATGTTTTCAAAAAACGATTAGATGTTGCTCTCAGCTCCCAACATTTTGTTACCTAAGCTCCTCTATTGTGGATTACGTCAAACATGTTCTCAACTGGATTTATGTATCAAATGGATCTAAGTGAGCGACCATATTTTACTTTTCTCACTCCTTACATCAACGATCACTGCACCCCAGTGTCTCCATGAACATTTACGGTCGATAATTTTTTTAATTTTACACTGATTTTACTTGTCAAAGTATTCATCACGGCAGACGTTCGATAGATGACCCAGACACATTTTGATTTCATCATATTCACCCCAACCATCCTACGGGACGTGTCAAGCACTTGCTTTTATTCCGTGATAAATCATTGTTCATTGTTCTTCGTAAGAGCGTTGAAGCACACGTGTCAGCATTCAGAGTCATTAAGCCCCTTACTTTTCCCAATCCACTCTGGCCGTGTTTCCGCTCTACTTATAGTAACACTGTCAGTATTGCGGCTTTCTATATCCGATCCTTCTCTGACGTGAGTGATTTCGACTTTAACAGTCACAAGAAAAAACAAATGAAACTATTTTACTCTTTATAACCCGGCCTTAGGTATCCATTTCCCTTTGGGAACTCTCACGCACGGTAAGCACGTGGTTTTGCGGACATTTTTCTTGTGTATATTGATGGCGATTCCAGCTGAGATTCGGTACATCTACCTCAAATATCAGTACCTGCACCGACCAATTGTTGCTATTTGGCTGACTGTGAGCTTAAGCTGGTACACAATCGACCTCAACCTTTGTCACTTTGGATGCTTTCCAACAATCTATTCATTCTTCAACAGCACTTAAGTGACCGATGGCCGAAAGGGTCTGCTTTGTCATCCTCAGTTCACCGGTCCGAATCTGCTTTGGCACGAGCCACATCGCAGCATCCCCCGCTTTCTAGGTGTTCGCTCAACCTACTTGGATTGCGCTGCTGATATTATCATCCAACTTTCCATTAGGGTTCATAAAGCTTTTTCTGACTTGATTTGACTTGCACGGTGACAACTCTCTTGATGTGCAAGTGACCCTTGACCGAATGGTGCTTGAGGGGTTTGGGTATGGTGTATGCTTTGCCCCCTTCAAGTGTAAAGTGATGTTACAGGATTGGCAATCGCCTCTGTAAAACGAGCCGCAGTACGAAGAGTGTGCGGCGACACGAAAATATTACTGCGTTTGCATTCATTGGTTCTCTTTCCTCGATTCTGGGTCGTTTATCTAACCGCAACCCGTTCGCGACAGCGATATTGATTGGCTCTGCGAGCCGTCTCTCATTGTTCGTGTACCAGTGGTCTATGCCCTTCGGCAAGTAATTTGCGGTCTGTTGCCTTGACGCGGGCGCTCTCATTCTGACTCCTGGTGATGGGATTGACTTTGTGTCTGACATGTTCTTTCTCCGGCCCAAACAGTGGTCTTCTGCCCGTGGGCGGTCTGTGCCTCTGATTGGTTTTCTAGTATATTAACCGCCATACGAGGTGCTGCATCCTCCGCTGCTTGTTACTCTCACAGGAATCCTGTGCTGGTGACTGGGAACTAAGCGTATTGACTTCCATCACAGTCTGCGTCTCTGGCTGCATTGTGTGTCGGCCTCCGTCACAAGAAATCTTGCCTATGTTGTTGATCGGCCGCTAGGCGTATCAACCTCTGTCACAGCTCCTTATTCTGCTCACCATCGCCGGCATATGGCTCGAACACGTGGACAGTGTTGTCTACCTAGGAGCTGCATCTCTGCCGACAGCACTATGGGAGAGCAGGTATCCTTTCGTATTGCGAAATACCTGTCGACTTTTGAGAAGTCTCGACATTTGTGGCCTCGTAGCGAGTCTTCACTCTCGTTAAGGGACAGAACTTACAATACTGTTGTTTGCGCAGTACTGTTCTATGGACGCGAAACCTTGTCGCTCAGTGTAGATGAAATTCAGGGTTTTGACAATGGCAGTTTGCGAAGAAACATCAGTGTATGGTGTCAACTTCTGACACGTAATGATGATATCAAACACCACGTCTTGGGCAAGATGGGTCTTCCCCTCTGTGATGTTGTTCTGCTACGCCATTTGAGATGGATTGGCCACGTCCTCTACATATCTAATGAGCATTTACCACGCCGCGCCTTATTCGCGCTTGCAGTGCCACGTGGAGGACATCTTTCCTAGCCATTGCTGACTCCGTACGTCTGCCCGGTTGGGGACCTAAGGGTGAAGAATACTAGTGGCTTGTGGCAGTGGTGCCAAACCAGATGCCCTTGGTAGCAATGCACACAAGTTTGTGTGAATTGCCGATTTCAAGGCGCGTTTTTTTAGACTCCACTCCATCTACGTTGGTCGGGTGGGTTGATGATGATGATGATGATCGACCTTGGCCAGCAACGACTACAAATTTGTTGTCACCCATTATTCGGTGCAGAATATTTCACAACAAAATGCGCGTCCTCCATTATTACTTTTCCACACAACCGTATTCATACGTAGTGTTTCTGTCTTTTCATTTTCATTTATCCATTTATTTCTTTCTATGTAGGCTCTGGTGCATCACCTTTCCGAATCCGACAGTTACATCTACCTTAATGCCATCCGCGGCCTGTCTGCGCTTGGGCTTACCCATACGGATCGCGTTATTCAAGTTCTGCTCGAACGATTTCGTCAATTATGCATCGCGAAACCACAGAGAGCTGATAATCGGATTGAATTTCAACTCAAACTGGGAGAAGCGATCATGCGAATTCTTCGACAGCTAGGTGAGTACACACTGCTACAACTTTCGACTTGGGCGACTTTAGTTGCCTCGGTCTTGGTGCATTGTTGAAGAACTGGTACTTGATCGTTCATGTATACGTCCTATAGCTATTCCTGCGCCGCATGCTGTACAATTTGGCTGCCATCACTGTGCAGCTGTTAGTTAAAATACTGGCGTTCCTCTCTCTGGCTCATTACACGACGACCCACCCCAAACGCATTGCTCGACTTTTTGTGTCTAGGCTTATAGAGGCAATTCTTCCTCTCTTGTGCCGCATATTGCGAGAAACTGGCCTAGTCCCAATGAACAGTATATTTAGACCGATGCTGAAGGTACCGATAGTGATCTCCTTGTACTTCTTCTCTGTGCCATACTAGCCCTTCTCTATAAACAATTGTAAATAAAGGTTTATTCTCGTCATAACGAGAGACGCCATAAGATGATCAATAATCGTTACAGTAACTTTCCAAAAATCCTTTAGGTGACCAGTATGCTCTAGAACAAATGTTAAGTGGTCGGCGCAAAGTGAAAACATCCTCTGTTGTGTATGTATAGAAAGGTAACACAGGTCCGGCAATAGTGCATAATTTGTAGGTGGACTATGCAAACAAATTTATACACCAAAGTTTTTCGGTGTTTTGCGTCATTGGGAACGTAAAGTATAGCCATCCATTTTTGTTGTTTGTTTCAGAAGGATTTGTACAAGATTTGAGCGATAAATGACATGGCTTCCAAGAGCTGAGGATAACAGCACTTCATGATTGTTGCTAATTTATGGAAAGCATATCTGGTCATCGTCGCGTATGGTGTAGAAACGCCTTGTTTATTATGCGTATGCTGGAGTGAGACCTAGTTGCATTAATCACGTAAGGTAACATTTCTGTCGAAAACTGGTCGGTTTGTGTCCAATTGCTTCAACTGAAATGATCATAGGGTTTGACGGCATAGTGTTGCATAGTTGCGATTTAATGGCAAGTGTTTATTTCCAACTGCGTGGAATGCGACAGATGTTCGACGGAGGATGCAGAGTGCACTTCACTGAAGAAGGTTTGCGTACGGCTCATCCTTGCTACTTCCAGTCGTCTCAAGTCCGAATTTCACTACGCATGTACTGATTATTAGTGCGCTGCGTGAGGAGTATTGACGATGCTGGCTTTGGCGCTTCTTCAGGAACTGTATGGTGATTTCGGTAAAATAACTCTTTAACCATGGCAATAGGCAGTTGCTCCATCTGTCAGAGACTTAGGAGTTCTCTCACGACATGATATGAGATCACTAAAAAATACAGAGAAATTGTACCGTGCGGGACTTCGTATGCTCTGGACATTAAGACGCAGTTTCTTCACATGGTCCGAAGAAACCGTCCTCGTCTATTCATCCCGCTCATTAGACCAATCCTTGAATACGGTACTCCGGCTTACCATCCGATAACCCAATGGGAAACTGAAAAGCTGGAGAAAATACAGCATATCGCAACTAGAATTATACCGAGTCTACAAAAGCTTCCGTATGAAAAACATTGTGAAAGGCTCGGACTCTACACACTATCCTATCGCCGAGTAAGAATTGACCTTATTATGATCCACCGAGTACTACACTTAAATCACTTCTCCATACTGCGGCCAATATTTCACCTGCGGGAACCCTGTAACACCCGAGGACATCGTTACAAACTCAGGGTCCCCAACATGAACAAAGTATCACATCATCTTTGTATCGAACGAAGAATAGTAAACTTATGGAATACACTACCCGAAGGATTAATAGAGGCCGATTCTGTGAAGTGTTTTAGAACCCGTATCGGCGATTATTTCGGAAAACTGTGCTTTTATGAAACGATGCACATACAATGCCCAAAGAAGACATTGTACGCCCGCAAATAATGACACTAGTACAAATTCCTAACCGAATAAGGATAAACGACTAACGGACCAGACACAACTGCTGATGATTCACAACTAAATGTTTTTGATTTTTCGTAATTCGATAGAGTTGTACAGAAACCTTTCTACTTGCTCTTAAATACAGTCTCAGTCTCTGATCTGGATGCACCGATTCCTTTTTCGAAGAATTTTTTCTGTACACATTCTATTTGTTTGGTGATCGGAGTTTGGTCCTCATCATTCAGGAGTAGGTAGATAACGTTGCATTTTGTGATCGAAGCATGTAGGGGTTTGATCCAATTTCTGGTGGAGGCTCGGCGCAGCCAATTCCTAGTGAGACTGCTCCTACACATCCAGTGTAGCACTAAGCGGTCATTTCATTTTATTGCGGTTTTTCTGGAGTCAAATCTACGTCTGCGTAATTGCACGTCGCTGGCTTATGCCACTCCATCATGGTTGACCATGACGGACCACCATCACCGATTAGTAGCTACGATATGGTTCAACTCATTCTCTGCTGCTGTACACGAGGACATGGTTGGCTCCCAGTGATGCAACTTCCCTTGCAGGGAATATGCATAGTGAATCCGGTGGTTAGTCGTTAACTAGGTGACTCTCTTACATACGATGACTTCACTCCCAAGTGAGGTTCCATCAGACGTTGGTTGCATTCTCATCCACCGGTCCGGTACCTAGTAGTCCGCGTCTTTCAAATGAAAACCTCATTTATCTCTTCCAGTTTTGCAGCTCAAAAACGCGAAGACATCAACAGTACGCCGGTACGCAGTACTGACGCTTTGCTGCCGCGCAACCACTGACAGTCGCGCGCGGGCTAAAGACACTGAGAGGGTCGCCTTGTCCCCTATGCAGGCTCGACCCCGCGACCTCAGATTGAGACAATCTTGTGATCCTTAAGGCCACGGGCCGGCTTCGCACCTCAAACCCTCCTGCGATGAAAATATGAAGGATATCCATTGAGTCTGTTATCTTACAGCGCTGTGTATTTTTGAATTTCTCAATAGCTTGCCATCTTCCTTCCCTGTTTAACACCACAGTAATTCCCATCAGTTTAGGTGTTTTAATCTGCTTTGGCGAACTGGAGGGATTTCGGTATTGGTCCTCCCAACACTGAAACCCCATGACCGCTTTCGTCCTCGTTTGGACTCATCAGATGCAGATAGCCTGAGCTGGGGCTGACACCTTGATCACTAGGCCACTGAGATCCACGAGTAACGCTTGACATAGTGGTGGAAGATTTAAAATTGGTTCAGAGTACCCATCGTGTGGCTTGATTCTGATCAGTAGTGCAATTTTAATCTCTGAGTTGCTGCACGTAGATTTGGCCAGTTCATTTTTATTCCTCCGAAGACAAAGAATTGATTATTGCTGAACGGCAACTTCTACTATGTGTTTAAAGGTTTTTGTGAAAGCATACATAGCATTGACATGGCGACCAAGTGGTTGATGAAGTGCCGTACTGTTAGGAAAATATATGATCTCATTGATTTGAATGTCAGCAAATGTGATACGTAAACTTGATTAATTGCCTTCATGTAGTACTTGACCAATTTGACTAGCATCTGGCAATGGAACATACTAGGTACTTTCTCAAGACACATGGATCTTAACATGGGTGCTTCGTTTGGCAGGCTGTAAATGTATCTCCATGAGTCGGAGTTAGTAATAACATTGCTACGCGACACAACTGCATGATCTATCCTGGATGACGGCATCTTCTTCCAGCTCTCTGAGGCAAAGCTGAAAGCGAAACTACACCCTAGGTATCGACTCGATGCGCCACCATGTGTGTGAATTTCAGCCAATCCTTAAACACTTAACAGTAGGTTGGTGCTGCTTAATCACCTGGCTCCGTTTTCCCAGATTTCTGAGACTGAGACTGTATTTAAGAGCAAGTAGAAAGGTTTCTGTATAACTCTATCGAATTACGAAAAATCAAAATTTACTTGTGAATTATCAGCAGTTGTGTCTGGTCCGTTAATCGTTTATCCTTGTGCGGTTAGGAATTTGTACTAGTGTCATTATTTCCGGGCATACAATGTCTTCCTTTGGCATGGTATGTGCATCGTTTCACAAAAGCACAGTTTTCCAAAATAATCGTCGATACAGGTTTTAAAACACTTCACAGAATCGGCCTCTATTAATCCTTCGGGTAGTGTATTCCATAAGTTTACTATTCTTCCTTCGATACAAAGATGAGGTGATACTTTGTTCATGTTGGGGACCCTGAGTTTGTAACGGTGTTCTCGGGTGTTACAGGGTTCCCGCAGGTGAAATATTGGCCGCAGTATGGGGAAGTGATTTAAGTGTAGTACTCGGTGGATCATAATAAGGTCAATTCTTACTCGGCGATAGGATAGTGTGTAGAGTCCGAGCCTTTCACAACATTTTTCATACGGAAGCTTTTGTAGACTCGGTATCATTCTAGTTGCGATATGCTGTATTTTCTCCAGCTTTTCAGTTTCCCATTGGGTTATCGGATGGTAAGCTGGAGCACCGTATTCAAGGATTGGTCTAATGAGCGGGATGAATAGACGAGGACGGTTTCTTCGAACCATGTGGAGAAACTGCGTCTTAATGTCCAGAGCATACGAAGTCCCGCCCGGTACAATTTCTCTGTATTTTCTAGTGATCTCATGTCATGTCATGAGAGAACTCCTAAGTCTCTGACAGATGTGTTGGGATGGAGCAACTGGCCGTCCAAGGTGTATGATCGAGTGGCTGGACGTCTGGTGATACTGATGAACTCCGACTTGCTTGCGTTAAGAGGGAGTTGCGTTTCAGTGGACCACGTTGACAGTCGCTCTAAGTCATGCTGGAGGCGAACGCAGTCGTCCTGGTTCTCACTGATCCTCCAGATTTTCAAATCATCTGCAAACAGGGCACATGGTGACTGGAGCTGCTGCGGAAGATCGTTGATATGAATAAGAAATAATACTGGCCCTAGTACAGTTCCTTGAGGCACGCCACTTGTCGATGGGAACCATTCTGTCAGATTTTCATTGACCTGTACTCCAAACCTTCGTCCCACAATAAACTCGTGTAACCACTGAAGTAACGTGCCACCGATTGCGTATGTCCTCAGTTTACCAAGGAGTAC